TCTAATTATTAGAAAAAGTAGTCTCGATCGTGGTTTCTTTATTTACAAATGTCGCGTCAGTTTAACAGTTCAAACTGAGTGTAGTCGCAGAAAGGGTGGCGCTGGTGTCGTTTGAATCTTAATTAATTATTTAATCTTAATTTGAATTTAATCAATCATCTGACGTGGTTCTCTGACATGATCGTCGTTGGCTGGTGTTGCCATATGAAAATAAGGAGTGAAGTTGATGGTAAATGCTTTATGAACGAGCGCTCATGGACAAAATGGGATTTTTGAACGGGCTACTTGGAAAGTGAACAAATGCGGCCGCTCCTTGTGAATTTCCCGCGTGACGTTTAAAATCTGTAACCTGACCCATATTTTGTACTTTCGAACTAATTACTGTAAACAGTGGATATACAAATGAATTGCAATCAACTGATGTTATTATTTCATTACCGGCTGCACGAATTGCTGACGACGAGTTAGGCCAACTTTCACATAACTTCTGACTAAATCAGCGACATCAATGTTTTCTTCACCGTCTCCCTTACGGTTACATTTTCACAAATATAAAATAGAGGTCTTGGATCGATCGACGTCAAACAATTTGAAGTGAAATTTATTACCTATGAAATAAAAATATTTTAAGTTTGGATCTATTAAAAATCTAAGAATAAGGAATGAAGAACAAAATATCCTACAACATCTCAAAATTTAACACAAAACTTTTTTGTGTTGGTAAAAATGTTCCGGTTTTCTCTGAGTTGTAGATATTGCACACCGCTTGTAGACTCACAATGACAAAGCGTAAACAAAGCGTTCAAGACCTTGAGCATGACCAACGTAATCCAAGTTATCATGATGCAAGCTGTATTTTTTTACTAATACGTAACGTGGTACAACTCCGTCGTTATCAAGTTTATTTTAGTCGCGTCTACATTGTTATCTCCACCTCAAGTGTCAGATTGATATGTCAGGTATAAAAATCGTCTTTAATTTTGAAAAATATACTAATTAATTATAATCTTTTAATCATTGAATAGAATAGAATACGTTTATTTGCCAATAATACGGCAATGATAAAGGTCTTAAATAAAATTAGGTACACTGTATTCAACCTGCAAGCAGATGTACAAATGTTAATTTCTTGTTCGGTTTCTACTGTCAATTGCACTTCAAATTAATGCAAATTTGTATTAGGAAATTCTAAGTATTCTTTATTACTATAGAAGCAATGTGTCAAAAGCCATTTTGTCAATTGTAATTTAAAAGTATGTCCTTACAACAATTTAATTTCATTTGGCAAATTGTTGAAAATCATTATACACATGTTGAAGCAGTTTTTTTTTTTAATTACATTATGGCAACGAGGTTTGTACAAAAGATTCATAAGTTTTGCTCTAGTCTGCCTTTGATTAATTTCACCACGTATTTTGAAATATTGAGGATAAATTTTGACAAATACACAGATATCCCTAATTGAACAACAGTTTACAGCTGTTGTCGAACCACGCACCGCAGATCGCCCAAACACACTTCTTCTGAACCTTAAACGCACTTTCTACGACTACTGAATTGCCCCACAGATAAGACCGTTGCTGAGCACAGACGAAACGTAGCCTCTCGTTGTTCTCGAGAGACAGTTTGCCTTGGTCTTCGTAGAGCATAAACAAATCTATTTAGCTTCATACAAATTTGCGATTGAGTTACTTTATACTACCCTCACAATCGCAAAGTTTATCAAAAAACGTTCGGTCGATGAGGTGTTTATGGATATGTTTAGTCATATTTAACAATTTCATATTCATGGGTTTATAATTTCATGATTATTAATACAAGAATTTGTGAAATATGACAAGTTTATTCTTTTTGAGTACATATGTTGTGATATGTACAATTTTTCTGTGAACTCGTACGGTTGAAACATGACTAAATCAGAAATAACTTTCTTATCTACACACATATCATACACCTCTATAATATGTTCAAAAACCGCAAATTACGACCAGCATAAAGATAAACTGTTTTGTTAGGACAAATTTCTTATCTGTGAAAATGTTATTATTGCTTCATCATAACATCGAATTCGATGTAACTATTACATTCAAATTTCGAACATCTCTGAGAAACAAAACAGTTTGATTGGACCTCAATTCTAATATCAGTCGAGATGAGGTTTTATTCGAAATGAAATGTCAATAGCGAAAAATTTTGACAATTTCACACGTTACTTGATATCGAACGATATGATAGTTGAGGCCGATTCTAGTTTGTCTATGAATTAAAAATAAAAACTACGGTTGTGTGACATGCGTGAGAAAAGTTTTTATTTGTCGCCATTTCGCCAGTCGCAACATGCGGTTCCTGAACACATCATAGCTTATAATATGTGTGTAGATAAAGCAGTGTATGGAACTGTACATAATTAGGCATTAAAACACTCGTGAGATGTTTTTATGAAACTCCCCTGTCGGCTCGTTTCATAAACCCTCACTCGTATTTTCATGCTTTTCATTATATAACAGTCACATAAACTTATTATAAAAAAAACCGACCTCAAAAGTTCGTGGAACTATATCTATTTGCCAAGTTTTATTGAAATCGGTTACCGGAATATTTTCTTCAAAAAATATATGGGATCAATACCAAGGTATGC